AGGCGTAGATTTTATATAAAAATTTAAAGCATTAGTATGTAAAACTTCTTGGATTTTATACAAAAATCTCCGCAAATCTAGGCTTTCTACCTTTTCTTAATGCTATACGTCGACATGTTCTTTTTTTATGTAGACTTATTAATTTATTATCAGTATGCATCTCAGTGAAAGGAGAGAAAAATCTGTCTCTCGCACTCACACAAAAAGTTTTAAGTAACTGAATTAAAATCATCCGACATCAAATACCCAGACTAAAGCAAATTTTCATTTCAGCAGTTGGTCAAGGGAAATTATTTTCCTTTTTATTCTTTCTTCATGTTACGTACCTTTCGACTGGTTCCCTAAGAATGTACTTTTATTTTTTAACAATTAATCCAGATGTGATAAAAATCATTATGAAAACATTGGCTCCTGGAATCCTTGAAATTTTTTTTTTAAACTTTTTGCTGTTTTTTTTTTTTTTTTTTTTTTTTTTTTTTTTTTTTTTTTTTAAGCACATTAAATTTATTGTGAAAGGGGCCCAGGAAAATTTTTTGCATAGGGGCCCAAGAGTTCTAGTTATGCCACTGGTGCTGAGAGAATTGTAACAGCTTTTTTCCTCCCAGTGGGGCCCACCAAAAGACTCTTTTGAGTGAGAGAAGTTGTGACGTAAAAACATACACGTAGTGTGTATTTCTTGCTGATTGGCTGATGCAGTACATATCTCGCTTGCATGGATGAAATGCTACAGAGTATGCTCCTAGTGATGAAGTCATAATTACAGATGATAATAAATATTTGCAATACACACAGAAAATGGTGAAATAATGCAAAATCCGGGAAATACAGAAAATGAAGTACAGTGTAATAATAACAATGTGGACGTAGTCATAGATGTAGTAGGAACATGTACATAATAACACAGAATGTTAAATATAGTACAAGTTTTTTAATATAGTAGTCTGTGACTAAATGCTTGGAAAATCAGACCTTATGCTCACTTCTAGTAGTAAATGTTTGGTTAAATCATCGTAGGAAAGGAACTGAAACTGAAAGAGGTAAAAATGAGAAATGAATAATGTCATCTGGCAGGTGGTAAGTAGGTTTTATGTGATCAATTGAAAGTGTAGTAAGTTTTCCAAATCGAAAACATATTACATCACTAATGAAATTCTTATATTTCTGTCAACAACTAAACAAGGTCCAGTATAAGGTGGTGTAAGTAGAAGATTAACTTTGTCAGATCTTAAAAATATATAAGAAGTTTTTATTGCAGGATTTATGAATATTTTAGGACTACTATGTAGGGCAGTAGAAACAGGGTTTAAAGACTTTATTGTTTGAAGTAAAGAGTGCTGACATATGCAGAATTTAAGGTCTGGTATATGGCATCACTGGTTGCTAGATTGGAAGGTAATTTTAATGTTGTGCCATAAACTAGTTGAGCAGAAGTTGCTTTGACATTCTCCTTAAAGGCTGAGTGTATGCCTAAGAAAACAAGTGGGGGGGATTTGTCCATTGTGCTGTATTATGTGCTTTAAGGGTTATTTTAAGATGCTAATGGAAGCATTTGATAATTCCATTTGATTGGGAGTGATATGCAGAGGTTCAAATCCTGTTGCACCCAAGCATGTGGGTAAGTTCTCCAAAAATAGTAGATTAAAAATTTTTACCGTGGTCAGATGTAAGTGTGACTGGGTCTCCAACTCTAGGTATCCAGTCATGTACCAAGGCATGAGCGACTTTTTCTGCAGTCATGTCGGCTGTTGCAATAACTTTCAGCAATCTTGTAAATCAGTCTATGATAGTCGTGCAAAACTGTTTTCTGTCAGATGGAGGGAGAGAGCAATTAAAATCTGTATGTATGTCTGCAAAACAAGCATCAGGTTCAAGAAATGTGCCAATAGGAGATTTGGCATATTTAGTGATTTTAGCTCATTGACATATATCATAGCTGCACATTAAAGATTTTATTTCTTTTCACATGCCTGGCCATACAAAACGAAATTAAGGAAGGCTGAAATACCGAGATAAGAGAAAACATGTAAGGTTTTGAAAACTGCCAGTCTCTTGCACTGGGGAACAAAAGGATCGGGATGTTTTGGTAACATGTCATAATACAGATCAATATTCTTTAGAGGGAAATAATGTTTCTCTAATTTTAAAAAGGAAGTATTAGATGCTAAAAGTTATTGAAGTTCTTCATTGTTTGATTGAGTAGCAGCGATTTTTGAAAATCGAGCATAGTACATGAATCTCATTTATCTCAATTCGGAATAGTGCATCAGCAACAATACTATCAGAGCCTTTAGTTTATTCATTATCAGTTGTAAATTGGGAGACAAAATTCATATGGCACAATTGGCGAGGACTGCATTTGTCAGGATGCTGCTGGAATGAAAATTTAAGGGGTTACTGATCAGTATAGATAAAAAAATTTCTCTCTACAATCACATGCCTAAATATTTTTCCTGAAAAGTACATAGATCAGAGTTCACGCTCATAAGTAAACTCTTTTGTTTTTAGATTGACTTAGTTTAGCTGAATGGAAAGCTGTAGGTTCCTATTGTTGTGTAGCCAGTTGCATGAGGGAGCCACTGATTGCTACATGAGACACATTAACCTGTAGACTCAATTGTGCACTGGGCATAGAATGCTGTAGCAAGGTTGCATTAGTGATAGTTTCCTGAGATGCTTTGAAGAAGAATCTTGCTTCATTGTCCCATTTTAATTGCTCGATCGAAGTTTTGGTAGGAGGATGTCCTTATTATTAGTACGGCATTCAAGGAATTTGACTACAGATAAATGTAAACATCCTTAGGAATACAGCATCTATAAAAATTAAATAAACCCAAAAATCGGCATAATTATGTGAGGTTCTGCGGTTGAGAAAAATCTAGGATACATTTTCTATGATAACTTAAACCTAGGATGTGTATGGTAGATTTTTTACACCCAATAACTTAAATCCTAGGATGTGTATGGTAGCTTGACCAAACTGGCATTTTTTGACATTTATACACAAACCATATTTCTGAAGTTTAGAAAATTGTAGGTTTAAATGCTTTAAGTGCTCATGTTCTGTATTAGAAGCTACAGGTAAATTGTCAATAAATGCATAAACAAATGGTAGATCCCTAGTGACCTCCATTGATAAACTGTTTATAGGTTGAGGAAATGTTACAAAGTCCAAACTGCATTCTTAAACTTTCAGACAGCCCAAACGGAGTACAAAAAGCTGTTTTATGTACATCATCTGGCTGTATGGGAATTTGATGATATGCTTTGGTGAGATCAACATGAATAAGCATTTATTTACCATGCAGTTCTCAGGTAAAATCAGCTATGCACATTGTAGGATATATATTTTGACAGCCTGTGCATTAAGAGAGTGAGAGTTGCCAACAGGTCTCCATTCAACAGACCCTTTCTTGAGCACCATTTGCAAAGGCCAAAAATAGGAGCTTTTTGAAGGTCTCGTATGATCAAGTTGAACCCTGCACTGATATTTGGCTTTAGCAATTTTGAGGCAGTCAAGAGCTAACCGTATATGTTTAGCAGTAGCTGGGGGACCTTTAGTATTTATATAGTGCACAATATAGTATTTCACAGTTTGGTGAGGATCATGTAATTTAGTAATATCAGGATATTGTAACAGTAATTTACCAAATACATTATTTACACGAGCTGATTTAAAAAAAAAAAAAAAAAATATTATGGGTATTTAATTTGCCAGGTACTTTAAAATTTGCTATGTAATCAATCAGATGCTTATTGCGTAAATCAGGAGATAAATTGGAGAAATATAAAAAATCTGCATCTATGATCAAGCATGTAACATCACAAATACAAAAAGAGAAAGTAAAATTCCATCCTAAACCAAAACTGACAGTAATTGTTTTACAACCATAAACATTAATGGATGTTCCACTGGCAGCACAAAAAGTTTGGAATATTGGTGCCTTCAGCTCAGCTTTATTGACAAGAATTAAACTGACATCACTTCCTTAATCTATGAGAAAACATTACCAGTAGATCAGTCGCCTCTACTTTTCTTTTGTCAAGTTTCCATTTTAGGAACATGGAAAAATACATTTTTTTTTGCTTCGTCCTTGAATTTTTGTTGATACTAGCAGAGCTTGTTGTCATGAAACATGCAAATTCCGATAATTTTATTTCAGATCCTGGTATGGGTTGATTTGAATGATGGCATTACGAACAGCATTGACGATATTATTCTGTTGCCATTAGTATAGATAGTTTTAGGTGGCGTGACCTAGTTAAATTTAGTCTTTTGTTCTTATATCAGTTTAGGAGTTGTTAATTCTAATATTGATTCCAACATGTGAAACTAAAGAGATAGATCAACTTGAATAAAACGTAGAATCACTGCAACGGAAGTTTTGGAATCAGCCATTGTACAGTGGAACACATGCCAGTAGGAAGAATCAAAACCAAAAATGTCTGTTACTGTAAAACAATTCAAGTCCAAAAGTCACAATTAAAGATGAGCGTTGTTTGATCTGACTCATGTATTTAAATGAAGCAGCACAGAGTATCATAAAATAAAAAAAAATATGATTTATTTCTCATACAGAAATGTAATGTATGCCGGGAGCATTGTAGCAGCCTTTATCATAGGAGCAGAACCCTTCAAATGTCTCTCGGGAGAGAGAAGTTGTTACATAAAAGAACACATGTGATGTGCACCTCTTGCTTGCCTGATGCGGCACATCTCTTGCTCACATGAATAATATGCTGCACATTTATAAATGCCTGATATCATACGTATTGAGCCTTTTTGTGTAAATCTATCACTTAAATGACTCTTAAAAACAAAAATTACTTTTTTGCATGCTGTTTATGTATTCAGACTTTGGGCTGTTTTATTTTAGAGTTAGTATTTTATAAAAGTTTTATCTTTCTGTGTGTTAATAGGGTGCAGGTAAATTTTATAAATAATTTCTTTAATTTGTATTTAGAATTGCATGAAATTGTAGTGAAATTATTTCTTATTATAGATTTTGCGTAAAGAAATTGCAAAACAGAATTCAGGTTCAAATGAAAACGTATCTTTGAATTATGTACCTTTCTGTGAAAAAGAAGCCTTAGTGAAGCAATTGGAAACATTAAATATGAAGGTACTGTTAGATGAATAACTAATAAATTGATTTATTTAATTTACATTGCTTCCTCATTTCTAGTAAAGAACATTGACTAAATTTAATTTTTCAAATACTGTCACATATACATATGTTATGTAAAGGAATATGACATATTTTACTTCATTAAATCATGTACTTTAACCCTCTGAGCAGCATTACCAGCTTCATCTGGTCATAAGATTTTTTGTGACTTGATATATATTAGCTTCTGATTTGAGGTATTTTGCTTTCTTACTTTCTTTAATAATGTAAACGCCATCTTGATTAATGATTAAGCTTATGAAAATAGAGACTAAAATAAGTAATTATACAAATTTAGCTAATAAATGCTGTTTATGACAGCCATGGCTACATGACATCTAAAAACCTGCTCTGCTCAAAGTGTTAATATATAATCGTTAGGTGATTCGTTTTATTTATCACTAAATATTAAAATAAATCTTCCTTCCCTCTTTCTTTTGGAGGGAGATAAATGGCTTAAATTCCTGTTCTTTGTTTACTTTGCATATATTGTTAAGAAATTTATCTTCTTACCATTTCATCTGTTTATACTTTTATATTTTGTAAATATTGTAGTTTTTATTATTTGTATTATTTACTTATGCAATTATAGACTTATATGCATTTTTAATTTGCTTGTTTTCTTACTTAACTGGATATAACTTTATAACTAAAAAACTGTGTAACTTCAGAGTCTTGTATTTATCAATTTTTTTGCTAGTTGTGTGGGTAGATATAGTTATTTATATCCGAATGAACACTCCTCTCCCTCTCCCTCTTTTTTTTTTTTTTTTTTTTTTTTTTTTTTTAAATTTTGCTCTACTAGTGGCTTAGTGCTTAAGTCTACTGAATGCTGGTAGTTCAGCCAAGACTAGACCAAACCCAAGAAAATGGGCTTTACGCATGGTTGGTTTTTCTAGTTCATCCTGGTTTTCCCCATACATGAATACTGGCTAGTTTCCCTTAGAAAGCCCTGTGTTAAGGTAACCCTTCCTTTAAGGTAAAAAGCCCTAATGTGATTTGCTATATTCAAATTACCTAACCTCTTTTTTTTCCCTGAGATATTTCTTAGTAAATTTTCCTTACTTTAATGTTTCCTACAACTAAACTCTTGTAAATTGCTGTGTAACCATTGTAAAAGTGCTTATCAATTCAGGTTTAAATTTGATTTTTGTCAATTAAGAAACTGAGCAATGTTGTTAAAAAAACTGAGCCAGTAATCTTTGTTCTATTTAATAAAATAATAGTGTTTTAGTTTATCTATTCTCTTTTGCTGAGTTTTTTATTCATTTATTTGGATGAATAACTGTCATGTCATATACTTAATGAAAATCTCAAATTTGAGTTTATTCTAATGCTTCCATACTGGCTTTGGAATAATGATTATTTATATTGTAGACGCAAGAAAAAGATGGGTAGTCACTATTTTTTTTAATTGCACTTCTTTAGTGTAAACAACTTATGCAAGATTTACAAGCAGTATTAGACGAAAAGGAAGAATTAGTTACTGCTAGAGATCAATACAGACATAAATTTGAAAGACTTAATCAACAGATGAATTATGTCCTTAGAGGAGATCAACCAACACTTGTTGATATCGATGGTATTATAATGCAAAACAAGTAAGTTTTTGAAGATTTATTTCTGTATTTACATGAAATTTATTAAGTTATTGAAATTTCTTCTTTGTGGGAAAGATTGGTTTAAAATCTGTTTGCCTTGTCATTTCCTTTTTAAGAGCGGAATGTATTTTATAAACAAAATAAAATTTTCTCTCCTTTTTCAAATAATGTGACATAAATTACACATCAACCAACCTGGTTAAAAATTTTTAAATTCGGTCTTGATATTTACAATTTCATAATTTTTTCATTCTTGTTATAGATATCTTCAAGAAAGAATCAAGCAGGCTGAAGAAGAAAAGGCTGTTACTGCATCAGCACTTGCAAAATGCAAAGTAATGATCACTGTAAATTTAAAAATCTGAAATATTATTTGAGTATGACAGATTTTGTGACTTCATATTTTTGTTAAATAAACAGTTTTTTTATTAACATTCAAAATTCATTTTCTACTTCTGAAAATTTTAAAATCAGTATGCAGTAGGAAATACCTTTGTAATATGTAAGCTGTAGGCATCCTGCTGTCATTCAATATGCTAGTATAAAAAAGTAGTATAAAAAATTGGAGATTGTTAAAAAGTGCATATATTCTATATTAATTAGAAAATGCTGCAAGCTTAAGATTGCTGAAAAAATTTTAAATGTACAGTATACGAGATATGAATGCATATGAAAGTTAAATAACCTATTTTGTACGTACAAAAATACAATGCAATGAGTAGACTTTAATTTTACAAAATATACAAAGTAGGTTGAAAGCACATATTACCTGTCAAAAAGTATATCTAGTTAATGGTTATAAAAATGTTTATCATGAAAAAGATTTTAGCACACCTATAGGATTATTAGCACACCTATAGATTATTAGCACACCTATAGGTATAAATGTCCAGTTTGAAATTTTTTCATATATATGTCTCTAAAAATTATATAATTTATACCATTTTTGTTTAATTCCATGCCAGTTATCCCTATCCTTATGAAATTTTCTTGAAAAATAATTGTAAGTTCCTTAACCTATTCTTAGTTGATGCTGTACTTTTGCATCATTTAATAAAAAAGGAAATGCAAAATATTCAGTACTATGCTTGACTGGAATTTTATTCAGATTGATAAATTATAATTCACCATACTATGAAAATATCTCTAGCTATACTTAATAAGAAGGATATTTTTCATAAATTTTTTAAATCATCAGGTTCATTTTTTTAAAAGTATAATTCGAAATGTTTTTATGCAGATGTTATACAAAGAGTTTTCAGATTTGGAAAATATGTTGTTATTCTTGTTGAGTGCTCACCCCTCACTGAGTACCTTTGGGGACTGGTATATCTGGTTGTTGAAGTCATATAGTTCAACCTGAATTTGAATCCTGGTGAAGAGGCTGGCTGTCTGTGATTTCACAATTTTTCTCATTTCTGATATAAATATAAACCTTTAAAAAGGTCTTTAAGGAAGGTATCCCTTCTTTTAGACAAATAGCTGTAATGTGCTTTGCCATGCAAGCAAACAAACAAAACAAAGCAAAAACTTGAGTTTAGTACCTCCATTAAAGAACATAATCATAATTTTCTACGAACAGAAATATTTCTTCTTATGTCTTTTCATATGTCATTCATTGAGCATGCAGTCTGGAAACTATGCTTACCCCCCCCCCCAAAAAAAAAAAAAAAAAACCAGATTTCAAGCTTAATTTCTTTGCCTGTTCTAAAACATTATAAAATTGTGAAAAATAATTCTAATTCAGTAATTACAAGTAATATTGTATTATAATTACAAGAAGTGTAATTTCTTGCTTCTTATAAAATAAAATTCAAAACAATGAAATGATGGGGGGGGGGTCACACTTTTATTCATGCAAAAAGTAAAGGCCTTGAGATTTACATAACTGTAGTTTACTACAAGTGTGTTTATAAGGTAGTGGTTAAAAGGCAAATTTAACAAGTGAATTTCACATGCCTATATTAAGATACCAGAATTTTGAGCCTAAAAATTCAAACTATGAATGTTATAAAAGCTTATAAATTAGGCCATATGCTTAACAAAGTCTTGATAGCAAAATGAAGGAACTGTATGCATTACAACAGTCAAATAATAGTTAACACAATAAATACAAAAGTCTTTTTGCATTAGGAATATTTTACAAACATTTAACAAACCAAACTGATGTTGTACAAGAGACTGTGTCATTGTGTTTTCCCAGCATTTCAAATTAAATAATGATGATAATGATAATTACTTTTGTAATTCAAAATGAAATGGATTTTGCTGCTGAGAATGGGTTAAATTGACTGACCAGTGGGCTTCTTTTTTAGGGGGTGGGAAGAGGGAGGTCAGAAATCTATTTATAAAACTGCCCCTCTCCAAAAGGCTTTTGTCTGGAAATAGATTATGATGGAGCTAGATAGATAATTGTTTTTGTTCATAAATTAGTATAATTCTTCATATCAAGTTTCTCCTTGTCAAAACAGCATGTATTTTTTAATGTAAATTAGAAAGTCAATTCAATATATATTGAATAAATATTGAAAAACCATCAAGTAATATTTCTCAAACTGTTCATTCCATCGAAAACTTGGAAGAACTGACTGGTATGGGTATGATTGACGATTACACTGAGAATAGCAGACATTATGAAACATTGTTTTCTTGATTCATCAATGAAAATAAAGAGTTCTCTAGTTTAATAATGTTTCAGGTATATTAGTCATGCATTCTTTAAAAACTAATTTGAGTCATCTGTTATAGAATTTTTATCATGTAAAATATATATTTAATCTGATATTTGGCCCTCATTTTCAGTACATGAGTTATATTTTCTTGTTGAGAAGGCATGTTTGTTTTGAAAAGTAAAGGAGGAACACTGTGAAGGATAAAACTGGGCATCTAAAAAAGATTGAGGTAACAGTAAATAATGCTTAAACTTTCTAATGCTAACAAATAGAATTTGCTATATTTGGTTTTGGTTTATTTGATTATGGCAAAGCACACAAGGGCTATCTGCCTATGAGGAGAGATGCCTTCGTGGAGGAATTTCTAGGGAAAATGAGCTTGTTACCCATGGGGAAAACTATGAAAATGCCCATGCAACCAGCTTGTTCACTGGGATTCAAACCCCAAACCGAACTACCAGTGTTCACCAACTTTACCGCTCAGCTGCTGGTGGGCCATAATGCACATTCATTTTCCATTATTTTAGGACCTTGAGTAATTATTTTCATTATTAATGCATTATTACAGTTGCTATATTTTTATATACTGTCTGTTATATCATTTAGTGATTATGGTTAGGGATACATAATTTTATGAAATAAATGCAAAAATTACCAGTATTGGTGATTAAATGCAAAATATTGTGTATCAACCTTTTTTTTTAAATGAAAATGCTGTAGTTTATCTGAATGAATGTAAGCAGCATATTGTTGTTGGGAACTACTCTCATACACACCTCAAATTTCTTGCCAAACATTTTTGGCGAGAAACTCCATGGCACCATATTACTATTTAAATTTTTTGTCTAAGTTTCAAACTTTAAGTCTAAAATGTCTGCAAAAACCAAAAACATTTTTAACATACAATTTACACCAAAAGTCCAAAACAAAAGCAAAAAATTTAGATAGCAAAAACAAAGTTTCTAATCAAAAATATTTGACAAGAATCCATGTACACAGTGATCTGTTGTAACTTAAAAAACATCAGAGAATTGCGCAATCTATGCAGGTAAGGAATCTAGGAATTATGCACACGTCGGTAAAATAAACTAACTTAACAAAAATAAATTTCAAGCAATATCATGTACACACCATTCTGTTTTAACTAAAAAAAAAAAAAAAAAAATCAGCGAATTGCATAACCTAAGCATTGCATACAAATCAACAAAATAAACTAAAATAAATTACAAACAATTCAAAAAATGACAGTAACGACAGAAGTTCATATAAAAAAAAAAAACAATGAGCATAACATTCTACAAAATAAGAACAATGATAAAATAAAATGCACTTACCATTGTGAATGCTTTTTCAAACATCAACAAAACTCATCAATTTCCACCACTTTATCCTTCCACCCTATCTTCCGAGACACAAAGCATACAAAGTTCAGCATACATTAATGAATGAAATCCGCATAAACACACCCATGAACAAAAGACTCGTTAACAACTCCAACATCATACCTTTTAATACTAAATTTACCTTGCACACAATTCAAAATATGTGACTGAAATTTTGCCACCACGTCTTTCATTGCAACATAAGCCATTTGAAAACGCCCACCAAACCAACCAACCACTCCAGCAAAATAAAGTTTCAATGTCAAAAGGGTTGCCATACAAACAACATTTCACCAAAAGCCAGCGCAGAACACATATCGCCACATTTGTCGATGATTTACACCTGAGGGCATATATAAGAATAGTACCTGTCGTTGTTCTCAATTAATGAAAAGCTAATAATTCAAGTATTAATTTTCTAATGAAATGTTTAGAAAATAAAATTGTATCTCATTCAAATGACTTTTCGTATTTAAATTCTGTCTAAACCAGATTTGAAATGTAGCTGTATAAAATTATGCATTTGCTCACATTTTATGTAGTCATCTAGGTAATTTAGGTAATAATTAATTTAAGTCTTCTCTTGACAATATGTTTTTATAAGCAAGAAAGGTGAAGTTCTTCACCACAAGCACAAAATGATGTTGATACTGCAACAAAGAAGAGTTTAATTAAAATTGACTGTACACATACTATTCAATGCAGCAAATGGATTTATGCAAGCATTTCTGCATCAGTTTTGATGCCAGACTTACTGTTATAAAACTTCCCTAAAATAATATTTTTTAAATACTTTCCAAAAGACGGTACTTACGTATTATCGCAACCAGGTTTGCGCGATTTGTAAGTTTGAGTAAAAAAGTATGAATAGAAAGAAAATGTACATTTATTAATTACAGATAATTTTTAATATAGTTTTTTATATTATTTTCTTTTAAAATATAAAATAGCAATTAATGCCTTCCGGTTTCGAATTTGAATAAGTTGCAGAATTATTTTTTCGGCGGAAATCTTTTGGCTATTGCTTTTAGCACTGATTGAAAACTGTCTTCGCCATTAACAGCTTGAGGCCATATAAATTCGATAAGGTATGAGTCAAGATGAAATTTAATTGAGGTTAACTCTTTACACCAACAATAAATGAAGCGCACCGCTGTCACGAATGAAATTCGGCTACCTTCAAACCAATTTCCGGTTCTCACACCCAAATGTTGATTGCACTCTTCGACGTTACATTTCCAGAAGATTTGCTTTCCAAAATACAGTTTCATTTTATGAGAATTTTTACAAGTACGTTCGTTCGGTATAATTCCATATCCCTGCAACAATTCAACAGCATCTTTTTCACTCGCAGGCAGATCCCAAATACCCATAGTTAAAGTATTTCAGGGCATTCAATCTAACCAGTAAGAAAAATAATTTCTTTACGAAAAACTGCGTATAACACGTAGTGTTGCCGTAAGTAGGGTTGCCGTATTTGGCGATTTATGCGAATTTTGGCCTGGTTGTGTTAATACGTAAGTACCCAAAAGACAATCTCTTTGATGGATACAATTATAATAAACAGTGGTCAGTCAAGATACTTGTGTTGATGTCATATAGGTTCTTGAGGCAACAACTTTCTGTTATGAAAACTTTGCAAAGGCAACTATTCAAAGCTTCCATGCCTCTTTAATAACATAATCACCGATTTAGATTTCATTTTTATTTATTTATTTATTTATTTGTATATTTATTATTTTAAACAAATGCAACATTTTCATTTTTGAGTGTTTGTTTTCATGGAATTTTCAATTTTTAATGTGAAAATTATTTACCCATGTAAATTTCATTTGCTCTCTGGTAATTTTATTTCTCAAAATAAAATTTGCATGTATGAATGATTTGAAAAATTATGTTTTTTTAAACTAATTTTCTTAGTACGTTTGCGCGATGCCATGTTCTTCATTTAGGATTATAAAACTGTAATGCTTTATTTTCCCCTTACTTCCCCCCAAAAAAACAAATTAAGGAAGATGATATTCATTTATCCCACATTTGTTTTGCTTTGCTTTATTTTATTTATTTGCATGTTGGACTCAAATACAAAAGAATAATTGTTATTTAGGCACAATACTATGCAGAACGATTTCCTCCTTGGGGTTTTGTTACAAATCTGACTATGCCATCTGAAAAGGATTTATACTATATAACTAATTTTCTGGTAATTGTTTATCTTGTCCTATGGGTGATTTAATTTAATATTTTCTTATTCTGTTAGGTAATCTGCAGGTATACTTCATGCTCTGTTATTAAGTATCTGCTTTTTATGTCTCTCATTTTAACAGTTATCTGCTGTGTTTCTCATCATGGATTGACATATCTTTTCGGTCATTCTTTTGATTATTTGTTTCATCTTCTCTTGATTAATCATAATGAATACTTACTTGTAATTTTAATTAGAACCTTTTTTATTAATGATTAAATTAGCTCATAGTGTAGATTTAATAATAGTTGCATAATTTTTCTGTCTTTTATGTATGTAGTATAATGAGTACAATTTTCAGAAACAATGAATATGAACATAAATCTTATTTTAAAATTTCTCTTCCATATTCTTATATGGAAGTATAAGAATATGGATGTCCATATACTTTATTAAGTATGTGCATATACTTTATTAAGTATTGTTTTTTAAGAATCCTAGGCAAGAAATTTGAAATAATGGTTCAGATCTCTATGTTTCAAAAAAGTATTTTCTTTTATTACTGCCCTTATTGAATAATGTGTCTCATTTAAAGTATTCATCATTTAGATATTCTTTATTCTAATATGTATAATATCATCAGCACTATGTCAAAATGAATAGTCTGCAAAATCATTGCATCTAGAGAGACAGGTTTAGAAATTTGAATTGAGGAAAATTTGGCATTATAATTTTGGCTGGCTGAATGATATGATTGTTTCAGAAAAATTGCAAAAGGCTTGGGTTCGAAACTTCTGTAAAATATGGGCATTAACAACTAATGCCTCTAGTGAGTATCATGTAAAATATTTTATTGTATAGAGTTTCCTCTTGAGAATTTAATGGTTAAGGAACAGCTTGTAAGGTTTATCAGTTGAAGTGGCATAGAACAGGAACTGGTATGGAATAGGAAGTTAGGCCATCACCATTTATGTTGAAAGTTTGAAAGTTACAGTTTGATTACTTAGCAACAGATGTAGATAAGCAGTATGCATTATTCACCTGTTGCTGAAAATCTTATCCACCTATCCATGATAGTTTTTTAAACCTTTCTGTGTAGTTAATGCCAGAGCATGAGATAAATAACAAAAACAGCAATGCAGAGAAATGTCCTATATTTCTCTGCATTGCTCTAAGAATGTTTTATAATTTTATGCAAATCTGTATTGTTATTGATTTTATTTTTTGTATGAAGGTATTTGAATTTTATATCATTGCATGTTACATATTTATTTACTTTGCATTATTTTATGTTTTTATGTGTTTCAGTGCTTTATTATTTTATAGTATTTATAATTGTATGTGAGTAAACTTTTAAACGTATTTATCTGTTATTGGAACCAGATTCAGAAATGTATGTATGTATGCTCATGTGTATATATGTGCATATATGTGTGTATGTACACACACATATACATATGTGCTTACTTATATACGTGCATACATGAGCACATACATCTATGTACACATGCATGCATACATATATTTCTGAATCCAGTCCCGATAACAGAAGCATACCCTTTGAAATGACTGAAGTATTTTGAATCTGTAATGACTAAAATTCTTTGCAGAACCCCTATATCCAGAGTTATTTTCCGTGCCACTAGAACTTATATTGTTGTCTTCATCCTTCTTATGAATTTCATTTTCATGATCTGAGAAAAATTTTATTTCATTCCTATCCTCATCAATGAAAGCTCATTGGACTTTTCTCTTGCTTTCACCTGATGTGATGGTTGATCCATATTTCATATGAGGAAAATTATTTTTTAACCAATGAAAAGGAATAATAAAAAAACATAGATAACTTTTTATACATTTATCACAGAACTGCAAAATAATTACAGGTATTTACTAACATACTACACAATATAAATATGTTTTGCATGCATATCTAAATGCATGTAGATACTGCCTTTTCAGTTTTATTCAAAATTTTAAAAAATGAAAGGTATCATCAATAGATGATATCATGCATTAAGGTGCATCCACATGATTATGTTGGCAATGTAAATTAGAGAATGAAACACACATCACCAGTAAAATTTGTCCAAACAAGGATGTGAGCAATGTCTGCATTTAGCCATTAAAATTTTTGGGCAATAATAATAATAATAATAATAATCTTGACACTCAAAGAAGGTTGCAAGCATAAAAGAATTCCGTTTGCCATTTCATGGTCTGCTCAAAAGTGTGTCACTCTTGGCTCATTTTAGTATGAAATTTGGTTTAATAAGCAATTTAAAACAAGAGGGCAAAGTGTTTTCAAATACATAGTATGTAGGAGAATTGAATTACATGAAAGACCGTCCGTCATTTAATAAAATCAACTTTATATTTTTAAATTTTTTTTAAATGTTTGTTTGTTTTTGTGGGGGAGGATGCTTCTTTATTATAAATTTCTAGACAGCAAAAGGTAAAAATAAAGTGATTTATATATAAAAAAATATATATAAACATGCTTTTATATTTAAAAAATGTTAAAGTATTAAATTAAATATATAATGCTTCTATGTGATCGCTTATTTCTTTAAGTGGAAGTGCCTCCAATTTCTGCATTAAAAAAGTTAATATTTCTGATATAATGTGATTTTAATTAAAGTTTAGCACAACTTTGCTGAAATATTTGTCTTATGAATATCAAATATAAATAGCAGCTTTCATTTGCATTCATTCTATTATGATTTTTCTTAACATACTCCTGATGATTATAAGCTTAAAAAAATAAAGGTGACCATAATTTTAAGTATCTTTTTTTTCATTAAATGTACAGAATATTGAGATAGTATTGAAAATATTTAAGTTTTCTGGTAATTCTGGAAGGCCCACCAATGGCCAAGCAGTAATGTCACTGAACTCTGGATGTTCGGCCGAGGTTAGAATCCTGTGAACAGGCTGACTGCATGGTCATTTTTGTGGTTTTCCCCATGTTTAACATGTATACGAGACAGGTTCCATTAGAAAGTCCTTCACAAAGGCATACCACAGGCAGATAGCCCTTGAGGTGTTGCTGTAATCTCATAAAACCTAAAAAATCTAAAACCTGGTAATTCTGATAATAATATTTTTTATTTGAAACATACAATGATTATATTTGTTATTTGTGTAATGAAACCAGTTTTTTTTTTTTTTTTTTTTTCGTATTTCTTATTGACAATGAATATCTTCACAGGATTAAAATAGATTGTTTATCATCAGTTGGGAGTGATGCTACCATTTAAATGTAAATAATTTTATTATTGCTGCATATAATTTCAATTTTGTATTTAGAATGAAATTCAAACTTTGGGCGGGTTATTTACAATTATGTACATAATAAAACACGTAACAAAGTAAAAGTAAAGAAATATTGTATGCTAGAGGTGCATATAAATCAGTACACGATGGTTTATTGATTGCACATTTTAAAATTAAAATTGAAAATGGTAATAATAATAGGTAAACTAAGATTATAATGATTTATGATTAAACATAAGAAACATGTTGAGAAAATGGGAAAAGGTAGTGACGATGTGAAATTTCCAGAGGTGAAGAAAACTTTGAATTGAAGAGTTGATGACTGAGGTCCAAACTCACCCCTTGCAATCTAGCGTGCTGACCACTCAGCTTAGTTGTGATGATGATCCTGTGCAAAAATAATGGAACATGTAGGTGTCACTGCAGTGATAGTTTATCTAATATTCAAAAAAGTGTTTGTTGTATGATCCATGTTGTAACTGTCCTTCAAAATTTTGTAGCCTTATTTTATAGAATGCTGTCTCACAGTCAACTGCTTTATTGTAGAAGTTGTTATTTTATTGTATTTAATACTGAGATACTTACATAGCTTCTGATTACGGATGAAATGTGGATATCTGTAATAATTAAGAGCAGTAAGCAAGCTATTGTATGCAGATAATTTGATTTTGTAGAAACTGTTATTTATTTAGGTTCTTATTGTTTCCAATGGTCCATAGCTGTGAAGCATATGAATATATTAGTCAGATAATTGCTTTATAGGCATGCATCTTTTTCTTTAAATTTCAGTTTTCTACCAATATATGGTTTGGGAGAACTGAAGGTGTCAAACAATGGTGATGGTTTCATTGATGTGGGCAGTTATGATCTCTTTATATAAAAACTCAAAGCTATGCACTTCTGACACTATATTGAAAAGTGAAAATGAGAAGCTATTTCAGATTATGGCACATTATTCTAACTCAGACAGTTCTAGGCTGTTCGTTCATGTTGCGAGCCCCCCCCCCAAAAAAAAACCGGAAATTGCTCATGTACAGTTTAAAAAAAAAAAAAAAAAAAAAAAACTGTGCATGAGCAACCTTAAGTTTAAGTCCTCTACCTAATGTGAACTTGTAGTGAAAAAACTAAAAAGTAGTGACAACTGTGTTGCAAGCGTACTTGCAATGCACTAGGCTTTTAATCATATAACATTGACTTGTTTATTAGCAATATCCAGCATACGATTTTATTAAATCAGTAATATTAACAATCTATTGACTGTTAAGCCTTCAAAGGTTAAGAACTACAGATAGAAACTATTGATTTTTTTATGGGCTATGGTGACAAATTTTCATTGCCAAATTACAATATTTGATGATTTTTTTTTTTGCCTATTTTTGTAAATTTTTGAAAGATTCCTAAAGACATCATTTTTTTCCTCTTCCAATGGCAGATTGTGAACAATTACAAATGTGACCCAATCCATTAATCTATATAAGGCCGGATGTGGTTATCTCTTTATTATGGAGGCACCTAATAGGTGGGGCCATCATCGCCTTTCCTATGAAGGGACGGACAGTTACAACCATGCCTTCTCCGGGATTCGAACCCAGGCCCTTCGGCATCGCAGTCAGCTTCCCTGACCACCATACCGACTGGGCGACCTGAAGACATCATTTGAGGCCCTATTTTGATTTTTCTAATAAATAATACCATATTTCCTTTGGCTGTAATATGAATAGGAGTCTTCAATAAATGACAAATTCGCCTAGTTATGAACATAAATGCTGTTGAGTTTATTAACCTCTTTATGCACCAATAAAAATTCAGAAAGTAATCTTTTTCCCACTATTTCGGTGTACCCAAGTTAACTTAGTTGAGTGCATTAAGAGGTTAATCATAGATTCTAGTCTCTGATGTGTTAATTTCGAAATTCATATAACTTTCAAGTTGTGGATTTTTGATTCAGTAGTTCTATGTTTTTAGGACTGAATTCATGATATGTGTTATTATGTTAAAAAGAAGCTTCAGCTTTAGATATTTTTCCTCCGTACATTATTTTCAAATGATCATTTTCATTAGATTTCTCTGAAAACTGCATTAAAGGTTTAATTTTTTCTTTTTATAAGACCATGCTTATCTAGGAGATATTTACAAACTGATACTATAAAACTATATCTTTAATTTGTAATAGGATAAAATAACGAAAAACAACCTACAATTGCATTTAAGTGAAAGCAGTAAAAAGTGCACATTCTCAGATTAAGCATAGTGCTGGTGATATTTGTTTTATTCTTTTTATAAGTTTTTGAAATGTATTTTTAAGATTGTGATGTGATCAGAAATGTTCCTTTTTTCATGAAATAGGCTCTGTTAGAAAAGAAGAGGCCCAAAGGTGGAATGAGAAGTTCAATAGCATCTGGTTTGGCTGTTAGTGCAAAACAAGGTTTGCCCAAAATTTATAATTTTAGTGTGATGAAAAATGAAAAATAAGCAGCTCTAAGTATTTTCTTTACAGGATTCAACAGGATTTAATTTCATTTTAAATAAGAAGTCTAATAAAATTTAATATCTTGAAATTTTCACATTTTTTTAAAAATCTTAACAGAAAATCAAGCTGTTCATGTTCTCTTTAATGGGGGGAAAAGTTTTTTTTTTCAGTATACTTTTCAAAATGTTTCATTATAAATTTCATGTAATCATTAACATATAAAATGTAAACATTATACTTTTTGGTTGTTGAAAGAATTTCAAGTGAATATTTTCAGTTACATCTAATTTTGACCTGTTTTAAGCAAAGCAATTATAATCCTTTAAACATTTTGATATTTTAATCTTGTCCTTTTTATTTGCAGTAGAACAGTTACTACAGAATAACCCCTTTCTTGATCATTCAAGTAAATCTTCAAATGTTGTTGAATTTCGAAATTTAGTGATGACATTATTGGAAGCTTTGAGTGATAAGAGTATTGCTCTTTCACACCAAAAGAAAACGAACAAGTAAGTAAAGAGAAGAACTGCATATGTTATTTTCACATCTTATAATGAATTTGGTTTATTACAAATGATTGAATATAAGATTAATAAACGAAATTTATTCTTTAACATATCAATTTTCAGGAAAGATTGTATAAAAGGGAAGTAGTTATAGCATAAATAAAAGTATTTCATTCAGAGGTTAGCTTCTAGAATTTGTGAAGAGCTTTAAAAATAAATTTTGTGAACTTCAAATGTTCTAAAACAAGGTACTGATTTTTTTACTAAACTGCATTGATTTAAAAGCATATTTCTTGATAAAGGATCCATGAAAAGGAGTTTTATGCATAGTATATTTTTTTAATTAATGCCATTCTTCAAATATTATGCATACTTTTTAATGTTTTAGTGAACTTTTCAAACTAATACATTTTGTGTTTCAGTTACATTTATAGTCGTTTCAGTTACAATTTTAGTTGTTTATAAAAAAGTTGCTTTTTAGAGCAACTTGTTTCTAATAATAACTTTTTAAAATTGGCAAGCCTTTATATATAAGTATTCTTATCTCTTCAGGTCATACTGCATTTATGAAATCCATGCATTAGATACAACTGTAATAAAGGTTCTTAAGAATAAAACATGCTCACCTGCTTGTCAAGCTATTTATTTTATACAGGAATAAAATGGCATTTAAAAAGTATAGTAATTGATTGGCAATGGTGCTCTTCTTCCTCTGAAAGCATATATCTGTAATTGTTAAGTCAGCGATGTTATGAACAGTTTTTGGTATCTTTTCCTGTTGTATTTTTTTTTAGGATATACCTACTGCAAAAAATATTAGCTAGAGAAACACAGTTAAATATAGCTGTCTGTATTATTGATAACTTTGTGCTTTCTGAAACAATTTTGGGTGACTGCTTTCTTGTTTGAACTTTTTTTGGTGTATCTGTGTGTGTAACTGCTGCTACTCTTTTTGTATATTTGTTTATACATAGAGATTTATATATAGATTTACTTAATTACTTAATGATGTTAAAATAGATTGTTATATTTTATATTCATATAAAATTATCACATGAATAATACATACTATAGCTTTTTAATTATTCTATATGTAGATATATTTTTTTGTATATTGGGTGATTATACTCTGATGATGGGAATGTAGTGTTTTATATAAGATGTACCAGAAAGTTCGGTTCAATAGTGTTATTTCAATTTCAGCACAATGCAGGTGTTTGTTTGAGATATATATGGTTGGTTGCCTTTCTTTATCACTGCATTTATAAACATCTGTTCTTCTAAATTAACTGAAACAAAAATGTCTCATGTCACAAATAAGTGAGATGCGATCATGGGAACATGGCTAATAAAAGTCATTTACAATGCTATATTTTGTATGAATACCAACAAGGAAGAAATACAGAAACATCAAAATTTAGTGGCAGTTTTTGGTAGAGATGTCGTTTTAGATAGAACATGCAAGAGATGGTTAAAAAATTTGAAGCAGAAACAAAAATGAACCTTTTCTGGATTGAAAGATAGTTTTCAGAGATACTATCAGTAAATGAATGATTTAGATTAAACAGTCAAATAAAAGAGGCCAGTGATGTTCATAAGGAAGCACATCATACTGCTTCATGATAATGCTAGACCACATGCTATTTTGGTGACTTGTCAAAAATTACAAAACTAAGCTCAGAAATTCTGCTGCATCCACCATATTTCTCTGGCCTAACACCCTCCAATTTTCACTTGTTTCTCTCCTTGCAAAATTTTTTGTAGAGGCAAAAAAACTGAAGCAAATGTCAACCAAGCACTACTTGAGTTCTTTGCCTCTAAGGACAAAACATTTTTCAAAAAATTAACAAAGGATTATTAAGTTTCAAAAACTGGACGAAACATTTTCCAAAACTACTATCTATAAATTTCCATCTTGCTGGCAAGAAGTCATAAGTAACGATGGAAATTATATTATACTATACATGTTATTAAAGGTATGAAAAATATTTTTTTTTTTTTTTCTCTTTCCAAAGGTGCAGATTTTTCCGGTAGATCTTAAAATAGCAGAAAATGCAGCACCTATAGTATTCCAAAAGTAATGATAATATTTTAATATTTAGTGAGGTATGAATAAATTTTGTAGACAGTTAACAGTAATTAGAATTGAATTTTTTTAGCAGAAGTCTTTAAAACTACTGCATTTAATAATTTATAGATGATTTCTTTGTTTTATCAAAAGCTTATGATTCGCTTTATCAAAAGCACTAGCCTCATACCACTAAATGTAATACTATGAATGATATTATTTGACAGAAGTGTGGAAAATTTGCATTCCCTCTTGCAGCTGCACAGTGAAGAGGTGAAAAGTTCAGCACTATAATCATGGGGTAGAAGCCAAGAAATGTGTGAAGATTGCTTGTCCTCTTGATGTGTCTCTCTGATCTGTGTATTGTCCTGGTTATCAATGTGGTCAGTAGCCATGGTTCTCTTTAGTGTGATGCCGCTATTTGATGCATGGAATATAGCTGTTGAATACTAGAATAGGGATCTAGCAGAGTATCCCAGAAAGCATTTATAAGAAGTATTTTATAAGTAGAGTTGCATAGAATTGTTGCAGCCAAGTACCTGACGACATGCCAGTCAAGTTAATCGCCTGTTAGTCATCATATGTTTTTCCTCACATGTCACAGGTTAACATAGCCTGTTCATTGGTTTTGTAGAGTTCAAGGAACATTCCCAATAAAGTTTACTTTTTACTTACATCACTTGCTCAGATCAAGTATGCTCCTTTGATAAGCAACTGCATTTTAGTCTCTGAATATATCCTCAGCATCACCAGAAACCAAATAACAAATAGGAATGCAAAGTATAATTTTATTTATTAAGTGTAAAAGGTTGAATTTTTCAGAAAAATTATCTAATCTTTTCATAATAATCTCTATTATCAAATATGAAATATTTGTATGTATGTCTGTATGCATGTTCTTCTTTGCACTCTGGGAAACAGCAGTGCCTAGAGCCAGTAAGTTTTTTAATGCACATAGTCTTCCACCCAAATATATGTGTACCTTGAAGCCTGAATTCTGCATTCTGAAATTTTTTTATTTGTTTACATTTTACATAAATTTAATGAAATTTTCTCTGAAAAACCCAGTTATTTAAGAAGCAATGTACCACTACTCGAAATAGAAACAATTTTATCTTTTGTGTGCCACTGTGTTGCTGTTCAGGAAAGCATAAGCTATTTAATCTATTGCTAATTTACAAACTAGGCAAATTAAAAACAATAAAGACAGGTCTTAATAATATGTTTTGAACTTTTTAACCTCATTGATTCAAATAAAAGTTCATTTAATTATCTGGCCATAAGCTAATAGTTCATACTGAAATTCTTCAATATTTATTATACTTAGTCCATCCAATCTATCCCGTATTTTGTGATAATATCACTTTAAACCGTTTTATTGATTTTGGAGGAGTTCTCCGAGAAAGATTCACCAGACTTATATTTATAAAATTTTTCTAGCTGGGCTCATTACAAGAATTACATATATTTTCTTTGTCAGTAAATAAAAGAGGAATATTCACTTTTGTGAAATATTTAAAAATAGTTTAAAATGCATGTGCATTTTAAATTTTACTATCGCAATGCAAAATAAGATGAAAATTTATTCCATCTCAGTTTTGCTTCATTTTTATTTTCATACAGAAATAGTTTTATGCATTGGATTCTTTTAACAACATTATGCATAAAATTCTGCTGTATGCATTGTAGTGATACTGTTTTCCTTTGTCATACATAATTCACTAGTGTTACAAAATAATTCCCAGTCTTGCTGCACTTGCAAAATCTAAAGCTGTCTTAAAGCCTGTTTTGTGCTTAAAATTTGATGGGTGTTCAAAAACAGTAAGGAAGTGAAGCAATCCATTCTGAGAAGTTCTGCTCTAGACTCTTCATCAATTTATGTATATATATAAAACTGTCATTACTGTTCAGTCCAGAAATAATATAGATATTCAAATTTTATGTAAACGTATGTACTTAAAAATTATTAAAATTTAATGCAATTATATGTATTTTAAAAATTTTATGTAATTACATGCATATTTTGTGTTTCATATTTTCTTTAATAATCAAATATATGTTTAAAAATTTATTTGATGGCTCAGTTTGCTTGATATGTTTACATGTTTGGTTATCGATAGACTAAGTTTTGTAGTTTTTATTTTATTTTCAGAATCCTTGGGAGCAGAGTATCAGAATTAGAAGAAAAAATTAAATCAATGGAAGTGTCAACACTTTGGCGCATTCCTGATCCTAGTAATCATATCTAAATTTTTGTTGTCTTAATTTGCATAAAGTATGTGTTAATGGGATATAATTATTATGGCATTATAAATATGAATTGATAAGTTTTTTGTTTATAAAAATGGATTAAAGTGCCTCAATTTTTTTTCTTTTAATAGTAAAGTAAAAAAAAATATTTTGCATGAAAAACTTGAGAAGTTTTGAATGCATAAGCTTATAATATTTTATATTTACTCCCCATTTTTGTTGTTTTAGCATTAATTCCAGGTACTTGCATATTAACGCAACCATCTTAGCGCAATTTGTCGATTTTTTACTAGATGAAAAAGTAAACATTAGTTATCAGGTGCCACTTGGTGGTTTTTGCGAATTTCTTTAAAAAGATTGACAGACTATCAATATTTATTGGAAGTCTGCAAACACTGTCAACTTATGAAAAGAGAAGACACTTTAGCATTTTAAAATACAAATTTTAATTGTTAGATATGGATCTTTTGTTTGTTTGTTTAACTCTAATTTTAACTCCTCGTGTTTCACAAAATAAACAATGAGACTTGCATGGCCAGATCTTACAAGTAAGTTCCGACACTAACAAAATAAAGAAATGTATGATGATAGCATTGCAAATGGTGAAAACATTATTAAAACACAATAAAGATTTTTAAATTAGTAACATTCCTAATAAAAATCTAGTAATGTAAAAGATCTGAATAAGAAATCAGTGAGAAACATATCAATAAGAAAGATATTGCAATCCATTCAATAGTACACCAGAATCAATTAGTAGCTCATGATTTATGAATTTGCTAATCTCCATTAGAACATCAAATGTATTAAGAATACATGAAAATTTGCTTCTATTTCTTCCATCTTTAAATAGCGGCAAAGCAAAACTTGCATCCGTGTTTGGCTTTACCATTTTTTGCATACATCTTAGGTTTTCTGAGTAGCATTAGGGCATTTTTTAGCAGTTTATAGTTTTAACAGTTTCATAGTTTAGCTTTTTTTTTTTTTTTTTTTTTTTTTTTCAATTCGTTTATATGATCCTCATATGCCTTTACAGAGGCTTGTTTTTAAAAATTATTTCAAATTTTAGGTATCAAGGTGCAGATATAATTTGCATTCTCAAATTTGCCCTAATGCTCTAATTATACATAGAATAAGTTTTTTAACTGTTTTATTCTCTATCTTGTGTTTTATTCAAGTGTTAGATATTCTGAACTTTCAAATTCATTCTTGAATAATTTTAATAACATGAATTTTGCATTATTCAAACAATTAATTGCTATGAAATGTGTTTTAAGTGTTAATTAAAAGTTTAGTATTTAGTTGATTTTTTACTTTTAGTTACTTCATGAAAGAGATAAATAAAAGATATCTTGTAGGTCAATTTTCTATCCTCCTGCATGGTTGTGGAGCTGATGAATTAAATGTTCCTGAAAAGGCTTCGCCTCAGCATTCATTAATGTCATCTGTTGATAACAATGAACAAAAAGATGAGTCATCAGAAAATATCCTTGATGACCAAAGTATTAAAAGTGATGATCAGTGTTCGGTATCTGAACTGAGTGCAGATGTACGAACTAATTCTGGCTTTAGTGATTTAGATATTCTTCCAACCAAAGATTATCCAATGAAAGGTAACTATTTGCTTTATAACATTTTAGACAAAGTTTGAATTCCCTTTCTGAAAATTATGCTGGAAATTTTTCCAAATTCTAGAGATGAAAACCATATAAAAAATTTAAAATGCTTTTATAAGCTAGAATAATAGTAGTAACGAGAGGTGCAAATTATTGCTAAAAAGCATTTCACAGCATTCATTTGTTATTTTAAAATCCATTAAAATATGACAGTATAAATTAAAATCAGACTGATTAATTAAAATCCATTAAAATACTGTCATATTTTAATGGATATTAATTAACTGGTTTTACAATATAACATTGGATATATCTATAGGGGATCATCAACTTATAACCATGTTTGGTTCTGACTGACTGTTTCTAGTTCAGTCATATATCAGTTTCAAAAAAAAAATTAAATAAATTAATTGTTCTTTACAAAGTGTGTACAAAATTTATTTACAGCGCAAGACTGTTTTCTGAATTATTTACACTACTGCTAATAGAAGCCTGACTGTTGCATTTTAGATTGTTAGTGTGGCTGCTGCACTTTTGACTTGTTGCTCTGGTTTTTTCATGAATGTTATCAGTTTTGTTTGAATTGCTTGTTTTTTTTTTTCGTCATATATTTAGGTATAGGGATGTAAAACTTCATCTGTTACTTCTTTTACTTTTGTAAATCTATCAAAGTTTGGATCCATGGCTTTCAACTTAGCAAGACATTCATTTAACATTGTAAAGCATTCAGGTGAATTATTTGTAGTAAATTTTATTATTGTTTAATTTTTTCATCTGCTTTCTCTGTTTCTATTCTTTCTTTTTGTCCAGTTGTTTTTTGGGCCCACCAGCAGCTGAACAGTAAAGTCATTGAACACTGTTAGTTCTGTGCAGGGTTGGAATCCTGGTGAACTGGCTGGTTGCATAGGCATTTTCATGGTTTTCCCCATGTGTATATGAGTTAGTGCATATGACCATATGTGCATACAAGCCAGTTTCTCGTAAAAAGCCTTCCATGCAGGCATCCCTTCCCTAAAGCAGATAGCCATTGGATGCTTTGCCATAATCAGATAAACCAATAAACCAAACTAGTTCTTTTTTGTTTTAATTCAATCGACTTCTCATTAATTAGTTCACTAGACCCTTAATCTAACTACACTTCAACATCTTAAGTGTAAAAAACAAACACAGTATTATACACAGTTAATAGCATATTATTATAGACAGTTAATAAGCAAAATTATGTAAATAAATTACGAACAAATGAAGTGAAAGCTGTCGATGGGATAAACCATGAAAGTATGTTGTCGTACTCTTTTGCCCAAGCCACAACTGCTATAACTGCTAAGGATACGATTTATTACGTCATGTATTAGCCAAATCTTGCTTCAAGTGATTTTTTTTCCTGTTTATAAACATGAAGAAAAACCTTCATCAGATGCTTATTACATATGATAAAATTGCTATGAATGCTATTGATAAATGTTTTTTAGAACATGATGAAGTATTTTGATCTCAGGTCTCCAGTGCCTTACTGAAGTGCTAGGAAAATTGCTTTTCCGTGGGAAGCATTTGTATAAAAAAAATACTTTTTGTTTCCCAAACCTGATTCTATGAAATTTTTGTCTACCCTTCATATTATATTGACTGGAAGCTGAAAAATTACTAGTTGAAACGAAAATAAAAATCAATCTTATAAATTTAGTATTCTTATATGATTGTTCCTAGTATATTTTTGATCATTTTTGCATGTAAATTTTAAGTTAAATGATATATTTCAGGTGTCATGTTTGATAGAAGAGAGAGTATGAGTAGTTGCAGTCATTATAGTGACTCTAAAATTAGTTCTGAATCTCCTTCACCTATACACATTCTCAGGACTCTCCACAGTGATTCTGAAATTACTCCAAAAAAGTCTGTCAGCATCAACAGAATTTTTAAATCATCTACCAACAAAGATCGTCATGAATGGTCATCGTTACATGTAGAGGACTTGCCTCCAAAACTTCAAAAGTTTGTAGCTGCAGCCTTTGCTGAAATTGAAAAGGAGACGTGTGAGGAGGAAACTGTTGTCAGAAGCCCTGTCCGTAAGCAAAAATCTCCTGTTCCTGCTAATGTAAGGAATGATCCAAATTGCTGACATGTTAATTTAAATCAAGAATGATTTAAAACTTCCTCCTTGTGGAATATCTGAGCTGTCATATAGGATATTTATGATTTAAAAATGCAAAGCATTGCAGCACGATGCCAGGTGAGTTAGTGCTTTTGTAAACTTCTATAAATTTTTGCTACATATGCATATCAAATTTTTCTCTTTGGCAATAACTATACTTCAATGCAACATATTATGACTTAGAAACAATGACATTTAATGCTAGAAATGAAGACATTTCTAGTGTATTGTCATAAATCATCAAAATAATGTTAATGAACATCAGAATTATTCTATATTTAAAATTTTATGTATTTTAAAAATTGATTAAATATGTCTTTGTTGTTGGGTTATTGGCTATAAGAATTAACATAGTATTCATAAATTTGCAGGACTAGTTTTGAAGGTTTGAAGATATAAAACCTTCTTCTTCAACTGCAGTTGCCAGTTGCATTTGTTCTCATGGCCAATAATCCTATAATCATTATTCAGTGTGTTGTTTTATTTGCTAAAGTAGTTATTAGTATATACGGCAATTCACATACACTCACATGTGTATTGTTAAAAATTACTTTTGAAAGCTCATAGTATTCCCACAAATGTGCATTTGTTTCATTTTATAGATGTGAGAAATCATTATAGAGATGATTACAAGTGCCATAATAAACTTTTGATTATAAAACAAATAATTAATTAAAATAAAATGAGAGTATTATAGATGTGCTGGTATTGTCTTATAAACCAGGCATAATTGTTTTAATGTATATTATTTGTAAGTCTTCTGATTGGGAAGTATTCTTGCAAAAAGGGGAAAAATTTTCCTTATAGCATTCAGTTATTATTTAATATATAATAACTGTATCATTTATATATTAATAATCTCTTAAATTCATACTTTTAGCATCTGTGTTTTCATGCCAGTCTGTTATATCAAAGCATGGAAACTGTTTTTTATCCATTGAGAGATCATAAAATGCTACGATTTTAAACCAGATTTGATGTTTATGTAGGCATCATGTAGACTAGTTTACAAGGATTGTTCCTAGAACAAAATTTTAGGTATAGCACATTGTACTTATGTACCCTGATAGATGTTAAGTTTTTCCTCATAATTTGCCATGATGAATGAGACATTCGTCTAAGCATGAAAAAAGATTTTCAATGTTTATTCGTATAGTGGTTGCATGGACTTTGAGTGACTGCTGTATCATCATTCTGAAATTTATGGCAACTAATATATACTTTCAAGAGTTGTGGAGAGATGACAATATACTTTGTCCAGAAGCTGGTGGATGGTATAAAATCTACAGTTGGCAGTGTTAAAAGAAGGGACAGATTTATCAGTTATTATTTCCCTTGTAATCACTTACTTATCTTCAATATTTTAAATACTCTAAGAAGGTACGGAAGACTACATATTTTAAAGTGACAAGGTAATCATAGCAGTGGTGACTCAGTGGTTTATGATCTAGGATAACACATTTTAAAATATGGCCACTTGAATATATTATACCATGTTTAGAAAATACCTCTTTTATCATACTTATGTAGGAAAATAAGGTATTTATCATGGAACATAAGGTACAGTGTGTTATATCCAATCATACTATTAAAAAGTAATTATCCATGGACGAATTCTTGGGATGCTACTTGTTGATTGAATATTTCTTATATTCAGAAATTTTCTTTGCTTATTTAATTTTATGTAGTTATTTTCTGTATGTAAATACAAAAAAATTATCCTTGGGATGTCATTGATGTTACTCTTTTAATTCCAACAATTATAACTAATGTTTAACCAATTATTAAGGCTTCAGTTACAAAAGTTTGACTTCAATCATGCTTTTTGTTGTCATACTTTACTGAAAATTTTTCTCCCTGACATTCTTTTGAATTTTTATGTATGATTAATTTTTTTAAGGTTAGGTATGTAACAGCAGTAAAATTTTTACTGTTACAAAAGGACTTACGTCTTTGTATGATCAAATATTTTTAAGGCGTAAATACATATATTTTAATTCTTGCCATTAAAAACATACCTTATAAGTTCCGAATCTAAAAAAAATTGCAGTAAGTCATCCAGATCTAGACTGAAAAATGGTATATTGCATGAAATTTAAAGCTACATAAATTCATTTTTGAATACTATATTAGTGTTTTTTCATAATTTTAAACTTTATTATAAATGTAATAATCAATGAAAAATTAAAATTTAAAAAATTTAGAATCCCTTGTTTTTGACACACTTATATTTTATTCTTTCATATATATTCACTATATGCATTTTGTGTGCAGAGCATTTTTTTCCCGTTTTTGTAAACATTTTTAGCTAAATGTCGGGTTCCTCTTGTTGATATAATCATGCTTGTATTTTTTTTTTTTAATTTTTATTATTTTTATTTAATTTTTTATTTTTATTTTTTTATTTATTTTTTTATTTTATTTTTTTTTATTTTTTTTTTTTTTTTTTTAATTTTTTGAAAAAATAGGCTTTGAATCTCTGTAATCAGGGCCGTAGAGTCGGTAGGGAAAATCTCCAACTCCGACTCACTCATATATACATAGGTTACAGCTTATTTTTTTAATATAAAAGAAGTAATAAATGCTATAGAAAAATATTGATGGCATAGCAAATTATTTATATTAATTAGCATTTATTATGAAATGGAAAAACTTGCATTAGTTATTTCTAAGGAACAGCATAGCTTCGGCAAGATCTTCTTTGTTGGAGGACCGTAGATCCGATTTGATAAACTTCAGAGCTGAGAAGAGCCTTTCCACACTGACTTGAGTAGGAGGAAGAGGTGTTACTGTTAAAGCTACTTCTTTTAACATTTCAGGATAGATTTTTTATAAGTTCTAAAACAGGTGTCTTGCAAGAGCAATCATATTTCTCTATTTCTTCAAAGGCTGTGTAGAAATCTTATTTTTATTTTTTCATTTTCATATCTAAAAGCTCTTGGTGCTTTATTTTCATTCACTTTGCTTTAGCCTTTTTAATATTATCCAAAAGTATTTCTCAAAATCTAATTCATCACTGAAAGAGGATGATAGAGATTCAGTTGCGATGTCTGCAGTTTGACTGTCCTGATTTGAATATTCCAATTGTTGTGAAAATAATTTCATTCTTATTAAGATAGCTTTCTTTGCCTTCTTAATTTGTTTGTCATCCAACAAAATTTGGTGTTTTCAATCTACATATAATGAACACAGCAAGATTTCAGTGTCTAGAAAACTAGTCTCTTTTTTCTTAATTGAAGAAATGATTCCTTTTGCAATTATCCCTCCATTTCAGAAAGAACAAACATCACATGCCTCCATTCTCACCTCCTGTTAATTCTTCAAATTATAGCTTTTTTGCGGCTATATACAATTGTAGAAAGAAGAGTTTCCAATTCTGAAAGATCATATTCACAGTCTTTCTGTTAGTGAAACATTTAACAAGTTATCTACATCTTCTGAAAAAGTTCTTAATTCTAACAACCTGTATATTATCAAGTATGTACTTCCTCATCATATTGCTTGATCAATAATTGCTCCTTTTCCTGCTCGCTAAGAATGGCATCAATTTTGGGAGTTCTTGCTGCTATTGCTGATTACCTAAATTTACCAGTGAGTTTTGTAACTAAATCAGTTTAATCACTAAATCACACAAATATCACATCCGTCCTCCTCCCTTATATTTATTTATTGATATGTCAATAAAGTAGAAAATAACTATTTATTAATGTATATAGTCCATAAATAAAAATAATAACTCAGTTTGTCATTAATTTTTTTTTTTTTTTTCAATTCTCTTTAATTTCATTTCAAATTCAAACTGTCCAACAAAAACTGGAGTCAGAGTCGACCTGTTTTTAGCGATTCCAACTCCGACTCCTTTTACTCCAAAATCTGCCCAACTCCGACTCATGATTCCGACTCCAACTCCACAACCTTTCTTGTAATTGTTTACATATTTGATATTTTACCTTTAAATACTTGAATGCAAATGTGAATAATGTATATTAAGAATGATTGTAAGAAAAGAGAAATCAAGATTTAAAAATAATAAGAAGAAAAGGACAACCAGTGATAGATCTGTTGAATTTCATAATTTGAGCATTCATAAGTGAAATTTTGTATTTGATTGAAATTTGAACACCCAAATTTATTTTTAATTGTGGTTTACTGGAAAATAATCATGAAAATTTTGCATGTAAAGTATTTTTGCTTTTGATAATTTAAAAAAAGTTAGTTTACATCATTTTCTTACATATTTAGTTACAAAAATATGAGGTTAAATAATTTTATTTACTCTTATAAGTAAGTATTTTGAATTGCAGCCCTTTTCATATTTTGAAATTTGTACTACTATTTATTAGAATTTAATGATAATTGAAGAAGAATATTCCTCTTTAAAGAGTTGATTTCATCCAAAACAAACTTTTCCTGAAGAAGATGGATCAATGCTTCTGTATATCAAAATATGTTATGTTTCTTTTTACTGAAAATAATGTCATTAATTTCACTTTTGTGGACAGAGAACTAATTGTATTCTAGTCATTTTTTTAAGTCAAGTATTATTGTAGTCCTTTTAAGTTTTAAGATTTCATTCTATTTTTGTTTTCGTATTTCGGAAAATTTGAACTCTCCCAGGCATTTTAATATTTTAAACTTTCACATTTTGATATTTTATGAAAAAAGAGCATACACAGTTTTAACCATGAATATTTTTTTGTCAAACCTGGTTTATTGTGTTTGAGTCTTATAAGATATATTAGTATGGGCTAAACTGTAAAATTTTCCGATGAATATTATCATTGTTGTATTATATGTATTGATTGCATTCTAGTCAAGAGTTTTTGTATGTTTTTTTATGTTTTGATGCTTTATTTTGAATAATAATCATTTTGCTATACACATTTGTAAACCTTTAGAGTTTGAAGTTTTAATTTGAGAAACTGATTCTAAATTGGTTTATCAAGTCTTCTGTGAGCTTAACTTGTTCTGATAGCTTTTGTATGCTATCTATTTCACAAGTAATATACTAATAGCATTTTTATATATTATTATACATGCAATTTTTAAGTATCTAATTTATTCATTATTTTATTTAATTAAGTTTTCAATAATCAATCATAATGATCTTTGCAAACTTAATAAAGTTTGCAAAGATCATTAATTTAATTGTAAAATTAAATTGGACATAATACATCACACATGGTGCTCCATGATGGATACCTTATTTTGTTACAGGCAACATGACAACTAAAATGTTTGTCTCACTGTGGGACATCCCCTCGCAATTGCCTTATTTGTGCTGTGTCCTGATTATTACATTGTAGTATTGTTCTGGCCTATTGTCATTTTGAAATCTGTGACACTAAGCTGTTTTGGGGCAGCTGAAGAAGGTGTAGAAATGATCAAGCACCAACAGGACCACATGATTAGTGGTCTGCCACTGAAAGTGTTGTAGCTGTTCTAAATCAAAATGGGCATGTGTCAGCAAGGTTTTTCATAAAAAAAATAATGCATGTTTTATTAGAAAACAACTTGGCATATGATAACTTACTACAGTAAGCTGCTAAGATGTATTTAACTGCATTCATTGTTTTCTCCATTTTCAGTAAATAAGCAACAACACTTTTTTTTTTTTCTTTTTCTTGCACTATGTATCAATTTGCGAACAGATATCATCTTCGGGAATTGCCGATGAAAATGTTTGCCTAAGCATGAAGCAAAGTTTTCATTGCCCATTTTGCAAATTGTGGTGTTCAGTACATTAGATCAATTGCCAACACTGTTTTAACATCCTCAATATTTTGAAATCTGTGACCAATGGAATGTTCCTTAACATCAAGGATGAGATATTGTGATGCAGGACTGCATGAGAATTATCATAGTGAAATAGCATATTTTGTGTAAACAAAGTAAGGCTTGGTATTAATTATCAATTATGACAAAACGTTGCATCAGTTAACATAGCTGTATACTGCATGGTGTACTGTGTCCAAAAAAGTCCTTACACGACCTTTATTTTTGTAACCGTTGGTCGTAGATGTATCCTTTCAATTAAAAAAAAATGTTTTAAATGACGCAGATATCCATAATTTGGCATTTTTAAAATTAAAAATATTTTAATTTGAAAAAATTGCCCAATCTAACTTTGTGTATGGTCCCCTAATCCCTATACTTATATTTAGGAAATTTTTATGCTTATTTTAAAAAAAGTAAAAAACGGGAAGTTTTGACATTAGTACGACGAAAATTGTCCAAGATGGTAAATTTCGAAATTTTCGATATTTGACGTCATTTTCAACTCGTCGTAAGGGGCTGGTTGATAAATAAATTAGAAAATTTGATGTTAATTTTTTTCCCTTGAATACCATTCGGTTATATTCTTTTTTGTGATTTATGAGTCTGTAACTTTCTTTAATTTATGATTTTGTTATAATAGATGTGCCGAAAAAATTCTGTCAGAATTTTTAGCTTTCAAAATTTTCAAGTTTTCAAATGCTAAACATACATTATTAATATTTCAAAGTTTTATTACTTTAGAGCCATAATTTAATAATCATTTAAAATTGACAATTAAATTAACAATATTTTTCAATTTTAGTTTATGTAAATAACGTTAAGAGTTGACTACTTTCCAATACTCATGTCTACCATTATTTTCTATAGCGTGAAATCTATAAGATTCTGTAAATAAGGTCTCCTTTCTGAAAAAAAAAAAAAAAAAAAAAAAAAAAAAAAAAAAATTTACATTGATCAATACTTTTCAGGACAGCCGTCAGAAAAATGCTTGACTTTTTAATCCTTTAAGTATCAGAAACTATTTCTAAACAGATTTTCATTTTTTCCCCCTTAGTTACGTACAAATGCAGACATTTCGCTTTTCATTTGGTGAATAGCCTGTGAGTATGACCCTACTTTAAAATGAATTATCTCGGTCTGCTTTCGCCGTGGGGAGTCATAGGGACCGGGAGAGCGTATGAAATGTTAGATTTCGTAATTTTTATACAAAATTGGTTATTTTAAATTCAAAAAGCCAGGCCATAAATATTTGCATCATGTAAAACATTTCTATGACTGGAAATATATGTTTACTACCAACGGTTGCAAAAATAAACGCTGGATATGGAGTTTTGTGGATATGCTGTATATCTGCCCTAATTGTTGATTCCCTTTGTAGAAAATCGATGATAATTTTTTATTATTATTCCAAAGCACTGTAGCCAAATATCATCATCATAGGCTGGTAACAAATATATTTCTGTCAACGATGCTGCCTTGTCTAGACATGGTCTTTTGGATTTAGGAATTTTAGGCAAGAACTGAAAGATTTTTTTTATCTAGGGAAAATGAT